GACAAATCTTTATCCTGCCCTAATGATGACGGTCAGCAAAACATCAGCAAATTGAGAGAGAGAAAGAGAGAGATAGATAGATAGATAGATAGATAGATAGATAGATAGATAGATAGATAGATAGATAGATAGAGAAAGAGATGGTCTGAGGAGAATGATAAGAAGCCAATGTTTTCAAGGAATAACTCAAACGAAAATGAAAATGCTGTCATTATTTTCTCACCCTCATGTCTTTCCAAATCTGTATCAGTGTTGTTATTGTTAACTAAAAGTAAAACTATTAAAATATTTTTGATAATTGAAATAAAGCTAAAAATAAAATAAAAATATTATTATTAGATGAAAAAATTTAACTTAAAAAACTGAATGAAATTAATAAAGTATTAAATACAAAAAACTGGAACACAGAGGAAGATTTTTTTGTTTATGATTCTACTATTTTCCATACAAACATAGTTCATAGTGACCATGGCTGTCATGGAAAAAAAAAAAAACAGCCATAAGTTACAGTATGCTACGAAAATGGTCCATTTTACTTGGATTTATCTTCCATATCTCATATAAAATAAAGGCGTTATTATACCATCCAACTGAATAAAAAGCTGACTTTAAATCAGTGATTGATCTAATCCAATATGACTTGTTCATGGTCGGTCCAGTGTAAAGTTGCTCCAATAAAGCCCTCATTCACCTCCACTAGAGCAGAGAGCTGCTTGGAGGATTTACTGCATTGGGATGAGTCAGTTGGGAGGGAGTCTTTATTGAGGCCATATGAACACCAGCTACTGTCAGATTGCCAATCCAAGTTTCCTGTCTGCAGTGCTCTGGTATTTCATATGGTCTGTGACAGTTGTGGCCAACCGGGGGAAGAGATCACTTCTGAAAAAAACTGAGAAGTGAAGATTAAATGGATATTAGGTTGATATTAATGGATATTAATATTAGGTTAGATTTCATTGGATTGTTAAACTAACATTGATAGTTTCAAAAATTCGGTTAGCACATGCTGTCATAAATATTCTTACAGAAGGACTGAGTTGGAACTCCAGATATTTTATTACTGTAATCAGGCTCTTATAGATTCAATACAGTTCCGAAGGTTTTAAGTTTGTTCTTCTCCAAATGGAAATTTGCCATAGTTCTTGCACAGTCAGTCAAAGACTTTATATAAATACGGTGCACTCGAATTACTATGAATGGGAGTGTCATGATTACCAGTGAGAGTGCCCATCATTACCACCAGAGGGGACTCCACCCCGAACTATTGTCATTTCCTAACCAAACTACATTTCCCATAACTCTCTGCCTGCACTCATCATCCCTGATTGCATCCACCTGTGTCTAATTACCTTGTTTAACTCACCCTATAATAGCCTGGTTCATTCATTCCCTGCGAAGTCTTGTGTGTGTAACACTGCATTTCTGAGCGTTTCCACTGTTTTCCATGTTCTTGGTTTTTGTTAATCTGCCTGTGTCCTGGTTTTCCCGTTCCTGTCTCACCCTCTGGATTTGTTTGTCATTGTTTGGACTGATTACCCTGTGCTTTTGACTACTGCCTGTTATATGGTTTATGATCTTGGATTTTCCCATTAAAAACTGCATTTGGATTCTCAACCTTCATGTCTCGGAGCAGTTCGTTACAGGGAGAAAGTGCAACGCAGAATGTGGTGGAATAATGCTGCGTTCCAGGCAGGTTTTTGAGCACGTAAATCACGACTTCAAACCACGACTCACGACTTTGTAGCATTCCAGGCCAGTCACGCCAAACTACCTGAGCGCAATATACATACTTATTTTTTCAGACACATAACATTGTAATACATAATCGTGTGTGTATATACATACTTATTGTTTCAGACACATAACATTGTAATACATAATCTTGTGTGTATTATTATCATTATTATTATATTATTATTAATTTGACTGCAACGTTATATTGTCCTAAAGTGTATTCTCACTGTGTACCGCCTGCAGAAACACTGCATCCGTAGGGGCTGCCATTGTTGTTTTGTATGGTTTTGCGGGCTATCTGACGTCAGAACTCGTAACTGGGAGTACATCGATCTAGTACGAGTTCACGTGTGGGAAGTCACGGGTTTGACTGCCGTTCCAGTGCACTTTCACGGGTATAAGGTTGGAAAAACACGGGTTACAGGTTGCCTGGAACGCGGCATAAGTCCCACTTTCTAAAGAAAAGAGCCAATCACCAATTGGTAAAGTCATAGTTTCAAAGATGGCTGCCGAGTGAAATGACTTGTCTTAAGACTTAAAGGGACTTTGAGTCCTGAATCTGAAAATAGAAACAATTTTGACTCTGAAATTGCTTGTGAATTTCACAAATAATTACAAAGAAGTGTCAAGCAACACGCTAAAAATGTGAAATTTTAACCTGTTAACCGTCACCAGTGCGTGGGCGCTCTGAAGCGTTTTTTTTTTAAATAGTTCAAAGTTACTATCATATTTAATGTGATTAACTTGACAAACTATACATCATTAAAACGATGTAAGACTCAAGTTTCAGTATTTGACCACTATTGTATTCTGTGAAACTTATAGTGACAGTTATGTCTTAATTTGTGTCAGGAGTTATGAAATAAAAAAATGAGTCGTTACCTTTAATATGAATTATGAGCGTCAGCTGCTCTCATTCAGAAAAAAACTCCCGTGCGATCGTCATGACAGCGATTCACAAAACAACGTCCCTCAGGGCTTTTAGCTCAAACATGTGCAGATTTGGAGAAATATTGATAGATTCTCATAGGTTTACATCAGACTTCTATAGACAGGAATAATATTTATTGAATTTATACCCAAATGCGTCGATGTAATCATTTTGAGCGCTGTATACTCTGATGTAACGTTACTGTGTTATCAATACTAACAGTCTGGGGCGCTGTTTGCACAGTAAAGTCCATATATGGATCACATGAAGAAGAGCCATAATCATGTGACATTCAGGAAGTCCTGACACATAAACAAAGCTATCCGAGATCGCTGTAAAGTGCAGATAAAGATGTTTTGAAGACAATAAACATGATTGCAATGATATTTGATTTACCTGTGTTCTTCGAGTCATGTCAGGTATTTTCATAATAATAGATTATATGTATAATGTAATGCTAATCGAGATAGACTTTCAAATTGTGCAGAATACAATAAAATAATATATTTTCTATCTGATTTTTTTATCTGAAGCCAAATCAGATTACAGAAAGTTATTTAAAACACTCGACTTGCGCTATAAAGTAAGTTGGAGCACAAACATAGTTTTATTCTCATAAATTGTCGTGTATTGATGGTGTGCTAAGCTAACATGCTAGCTAGTACTGAGCACCTGCTACCTAACTTCGATGTAATTTTTATGATTTTTTTTCTAAATAAGAATGCTTACTGAAATGTTTCGTTTTTCAAAAAGGGCATTTGATACAGTTTCACTGTGAAGTGAGAACTTTTATAAAATAAATGAGGGATTGAAACAGTGTGAATTGCTAGTCGTTAGTGATTATAATGCAGACAAAAGAAAAGCATATTTAGAGCAATAAACAGGCTGGAGAGGTGTGAATATGTGCAGGGGAGACTGAGACTGAATGGGGCTCGTTTTTGCATCACAAAACAATAGAGGCAATAGACTGAATAGATGCTTATAAGATGACAATAAACACCAGTCTAATCAAAATAAAGTCATATGACATGATCTTGAAAAACATTGAACTAAATACAGAGTTTTAGACTTATCATCTTCAGATTTTAAATATAACATGGTTAGACATGTGGCTTTAGCTGCAGTGCATTTCTAGATTGCTACAATGCCAACTTCAATTTTATTTTCATGAAGATGTTTCATAAAAATAAATGTATAATAACTTTACAAAACTTTGAAGCTATTTATAACTATTTTTTTTCATTATGACAATAATTAATTCTACATTTACAATAAACTTCCAGGTGTCAGCTTTCAAATGAGATCTTACTTGTGCTTTTAGTACAAAGGGTTCATGAACTGTATCTGTTTCAGTTTGGGAATGCCATATCTGGGGATTTTTCAAAAATGGGCTTGAAGCTTAACAGGTTAAAGTAGAAAGACTAAAGTAGTATTTTCTTGTAAAACATGCTCAAATAATCTTTGTCTTATTTACAACTTTCAAAAATATTTTTTTACAATGTGGTATTTGTACAAAATACCATGTTTATCACTACAAAACTAAAGAGATCTTCAGGCCATTCGAGTACATAGGAGTACATCTTCCCAGTGTTTCCAAGATGGTCACCAAGTGGACTGACATGCATTTTTGGTTTGAAGCTAACTTCTTCACCAGCTGCGTGAGTTTGGGGCGGGGCTACGTGTTTGACTGAACAATATCAGATTGAGGGCCCAGAAAAATATGCGGTAGGAGTATTTGGGGAAATCTTTTTAGAAACTACCATTATCTAAAACTGTTACAATATAGAGATACTGCATTGTAGATAGATTTTTTCCTTTTATGCAATGTCATTCTTTTCATCTGCACTCCTTTTATGTAGCCTCAGAGCATCTGAGCTCGTTCTAGAACATTCTGCTCAATCACGGATTCATTATTATTTTTTTTACTTCTGCTCTTGTTTACAGTGTATCAGGCTGTTAATTATATTACCATCTCAGTCACACACACACTCACACACACACACTCTCTCTTTCTCACACACACACACACACACACACACACACACACACACACACACACACACACACACACACACACACACACACACACACACACACACACACACACACACACACACACACACACACACTGCCCTACCCCTCGCTCATACCACTCTCCCACTTGCTGGAAGGTGGCAGTATGAACGGCGCATGCTAAACTCACACATGTGTCTCTGGCCATTGAGGAGGAACGTGTATTGTAGCTGCCGAGGTCATGTGACTGATATAAGGGAACTCTGCGGACACCTTGAGCTCACCTGCCACATTTCTTTCTCCTTTGTCTCTCTCTCTCCAGGTCCATCTGAGGTTCTCCGTCTTCCTTTGTGCTACACGCTAAAGAACAGGATCCTACACGCAGATCTCATCAGGTAGGCTCTTTATCCTTTTTTTCTCGCTTTTCTTTCAGTCTTCCTCCTGTTTCTGCCTCCCTGCTCGCTGTGCTGCAGAGATGCTGCGTCATTGTGTGTAACGCTCTGGCACATAAGGTGAGTGAGAATCTGACAGGCTGAAACGGGCAGTACCGGCATTTTCACACCCCTCTATGTTTTTACATTTCCTCCTTTTTCAGCTTTTGTCAGCATCTTTCATTGTTTTGTGAATGAACATTTCTTTGATGATGTATCGCCTGTGCATTTTTCTGCTGTTTTTGAGAATCAGTGTACCTGTTAACTAGCATGCTGGACACATTGAAGCAGATCTGTATTATGTGTTGTCATGTAATTCTGTGTCTGTGTGTTTGCCGGTCGGTATAACATGCTTATTGGAGTCAGGGTGACGTGATGGTGCCTGTCTAGACACCTTCCATTAGCATCACCATAGACTGTCCAGATACATAACAGTGATGGTGGCAGTGATTTAATGATGGTGTGGGTCCCCAGGGGTGGGTGATGTAGTACCTTAAATACTATATCACAGTATGAGCAATTGTATTTTATAGTATTATACAGTTACCATGATATACAATTACTCATACTGTGATATATCAATATATTCTACACTTCTAGCTGAAAATTCAATAAAACATTATATGCTATTCATCTGTGTGTATATGTATATTATAACTGATTATATGTGTGTGTGTGTATGCATGCACACACACACAAATAATATATATACTGTATTTTCTTGCTGTTGAATACATCTCGTCAAAATCTCATGATATAAAATAAGAAGCACTTTTATATCATGCACAGGATATTTAAAACAATATATTAGCTTCAACTAGATGGCAAATACCTGACTAAGACTCTTCTCCGCTCTTTTAATACAAGAAAACACAAGCCTTTATAGACATAGTGTTTATTGAGTAAAGAAAATGCTGTACTTACTCAAAAACATCAGTTCTTTATTTACCTTTGCATTGCAAAAAAGCAGAGATGGTCTCAACTGTGCGCAGAACTTCGTTCACGATAGAGACGATATAGTTATGAGGTTTGACCGATAATTTAAGGATCCAATGGAGTTACAAGGTTTTTCCTTTCACAACCTTTTTAAAATGCTTTTCATTGGTTAAATATTTGTAAAACCAAAACACAGACTTAAAGGATGACCAATAGCATTCATATTTAAAAATGATATAACAAAAATGACAAAATATAGAGATACGAGGTTTCCGCCCACAGCGACGATATATTCTTATTTGTAGCATTTCTTTGTATTTATTTTTTGGAATTTGTTCATTTTCCACAGCACAACTGACAACCTGTCACGGCACACTAGTGCTGCGGCACAGTGGTTGGGACAGTCTTTACTTTAGTTTTTAATTTACATATACATTTTTATTGAATGCGTGTGTGTATGCATGTGCATTGCAAGTATATATGTATGTATATTTATTTATTTAAAATCTATATAGGGCTGTGCCTGTGTGTGTTTTTTTTTTTTTTTTTTGCTTAGGGGATTCGGTCAATTATAATTTTCCATGTAGCTTTTTTCTATACTGTAACTGATAATATTCCATTTCAAGAACAGCTTTCAAACCATTGCTCAAGTTGGATGCCAATAATACTTTCATTTCAGAGCTGTTCTTTTGCTGTAGCAGAGGCGAAGATTATCAGTAAATAACAATTTAGCTTTATGTGAGAAATAGACTGACATTTAAATATTTCTAGACGTGCTATACAACTTCTAGAAATATTCTACGTGCTAGCATAGCACGTAAGTTGTATAGACTACATTTATTGTGCTTTTTCTGCCATTGCACATTAAATGCTGTCATGCCACCAAGCAGTATGGGTTGCAGTACACATACTGTAGGGCTGGCTGATCTCAGAATCTCACTAGAGACAGTTTCATCACTGAATTGTTGTGGAAAGGAAGTTGACAAAGGAATTCTTGGTTTATATTGTTGTTAAACGCCATCGCCCACTCCTTTCCCAATTCTTCTCTCCCCCTCACCTGTTGTGGTTATGACAGAAAGCATGTGCCATACGCGACGTGACCTTTTCTCATCCGTTTATCTCTGTCCCTCAACACACCGCTGTGTCTGTGCTGAATAAGGTCACGAACTCACGATACAGGTGACTGTAGTCTTCATGCATCATACCAGAAGGCCATTGAAGCACAGGAACAGCGTTTTGTCTACTGTCTATCCCTCTCCTGCAGTGCTGTAATGGCAGAAAGCTTGTTGCAGGAACCAACTGCTGTCCTCAGTGACACAGACTGCTGCATTGAAGCACAGCCTGCTCTCGAATATAAGAAAAAGCAATTATGGTTATATATGCACAATATTATTATGTACTGTATATTAAAAGAATAATGCACAGTTCATTTGATTATCATTAATCTAATATATGCATAGGTTTCTGTGAATGCATAGCACATACTTATATTTTTTGCCATTAAAAATTAATGGTATAATGAACAATAATTTAATCAGTGATATAAGTAACTGACAGTGCTTGAATAAAAAAACCTTGGTGCGCAGAGTGCTTAGATATAGAGACACATGTTAGTCGGTTGTATCACATTCACAACACATGTAGTCCACCTGTAGTCTTTGGTGATTTCAACAATCATCTAGAGAAGCCGTATGCAACAGACTTCATCTCTCTCCTAGCCTCATTCGATCTCAAACGGCTCATCACCACAGGTACTCACAAATCAGGCAACCAACTGGACCTGTTTTACACACGCAACTGCATCACAGACAACATTTTGGTGAAACCTCTCCACGTTTCAGATCATTTCCTCATTACTTTCAATCTACAACTCACTACCCATGCACCACCAACCCCCCTACCGGTTAGTTTCAGACGAAACCTGCGCTCACTTTCTCCCTCCCATCTTTCTCTGCTGTGTCATCTTCTTTTCCCTCACCCTCACAATTCACATCTCTGGATGTGAATACCGCAACGGATACTTTATGCTCCATTTTAACTTCTTCTTTAGAAGAAGTTCTGCCCTCTCTCCTCCAGGCCAGCACGCGTTACTCCCTCTAACCTCTGGTTATCTGAGGTTCTTCATGAACATCGGACCAAACTCAGGTCAACGGAGAGGTAATGGCGCAAATCAAAAGACACGTCTGTCCTGAGTATGTATCAATCTCTGCTCTCTTCCTTTTCTGTTGATGTTAATGCCGCAAAATCTTTATATTTCCACAACAAGATCAACAGCGCCTCTAACACACGAACACTTTTCAAGACATTCAACTCTGTCCACCTCCACCACCACCCACCTCTTCTTTAACTGCTGATGATTTTGCTAACTTCTTCACCAACAAAACAACAACTATCAGCAGTCAGTTCTCAGCTCCACACACACAGGAACCCAGACTAACCTCTCCCACAGCCAAAGACCTTCTCTCCTCCTCTCCACTAACCGAGGAAGAAGTATCTAAACCTCTCCTCTCCAGTCATCCTACTACCTGCCCTCTAGATCCCATCCCCTCACACCTTCTACAAGCCATCTCTCCCACACTTCTACCAGCACTCACACACATCATCAACTCATACCTCCTTACTGGCATTTTCCCTACAGCATTCAAACAGGCTTGGGTAACTCCACTGCTTAAAAAACCAACATTAAACACATCACTTTTAGAGAATTACAGACCTGTCTCTCTCCTACCATTCATTGCGAAAACACTTGAACGAGTTGCTTTCAACCTAGTATCATCTTTCCTGTCTCTGAACAATCAGCTGGATGTCAACCAATCGGGCTTCAAGAAAGGGCATTCAACCGAGACCGCATTACTGTCAGTCACAGAAGCCCTGCGGATCGCAAAAGCTGCTTCCAAATAAATCAGTTCTCATTCTTCTGGATCTGTCTGCTGCCTTCGACACTGTGCACCCTCTCATCACTGGGCATCACTGGAACTTCCCTCCACTGGTTTGAGTCCTATCTCACAGGTAGGTCATTCAGGGTGGCATGGAGAGGTGAGGTATCCAAAGCACATCAACTGACCACAGGGGTTCCTCAGGGTTCAGTTCTTGGCCCCCTTCTCTTCTCCATTTACACCACATCACTGGGACCCATCCTACTAGCACATGGTTTCTCTTACCATTGCTATGCTGATGACACACAGCTCTACCTCTCATTTCAACCAGATGATCCCACAGTAGCTGTACGGATCTCAAGCTGTCTGGTGGACATCTCGGCATGGATGAAGGAACATCACCTGCAGCTCAACCTGGCAAAGACTGAGCTTCTCGTCCTCCCTGCCAATCCGTCTCTTCAGCACGACTTCACTATCCAGCTAGATTCATCATCAATCACACCATCAAGGTCGGTCAGAAATCTTAGAGTAATATTTGATGACCAGCTGACCTTCACAGACCAAATTACAAAGACAGCTCGATCATGCAGATTTGCACTGCACAACTTCAGGAAGATCAGGCCTTTCCTAACTGACCATGCATCACACCTTCTCGTCCAGGCCCTGGTTATTTCTAGGCTTGATTACTGCAATGCTTTTCAGGCTGGACTTCCATCATGTGCAACTAAACCTCTACAAATGATCCAGAATGCTGCAGCCCGTCCTGTCTTTAACGAGCCCAAAAGGGCCCACGTCACTCCTCTGTTCATCTCTCTGCACTGGCTACCACTCGCGGCTCGCATCAACTTCAAGGTATTGACGCTTGCTTACAGATCTACCACAGGGTCAGCTCTCTCCTACTTTCACTCGCTCCTACGAGTCTACATCCTTACCTGAAGCCTAAGATCAGTCAATAAGCGACGGCCCGTGGTACCATCACAGAGAGCCACAAAATCACTCTCCAGAACATTCTCATTCACGGTTCCATGCTGGTGGAATGATCTCCCCACCCTCATCCGGAATGCAGAATCCCTGACAACATTCAAAAGACAACTGAAAACTCATCTCTTCCGGGAGCACTTAACCTAATAATAATAAATAAATAAAAAATCC